CTATACAGTATATATATATATATATATATATATATATAGTTGCAATTACTTTTTTTATTCCATGGCGGAAACCAAAATACAGAATCATGAGATGTAAACTCAATTCTGAGAAAAAAAACATCAGAATTGCGAGAAATAAACTCAGATTTATGAGAAAGTCAGAATTGCAAGTTTATATCTAGTTTTATTCTCAGAATTGCAAGAAAAAGATTGACCTTTCTAATTTTTTTATTCTGTGGCAGAATTGGGCTTCCATACTTGCATCCGATATCATCTCACACAAGCGTTTCCTGCATGCTACAGCAAATACTGTGCGAGCAAGATGTCAAATTAGGGAACATAAGACTCTTATTAATCAGTTATTTTTGATCAGTCAATCAAAAAGATTCACTAAACAGCCTCAAGCTTGGTTTGCGATTTAGCAGTTTGAATCAGATTCCCTCACTGAATACTAGAGTTGTTTTTTGGTTAAATTTGATTCAAAAAGAGGTGGGAACTGCATACAACAACTGTCATGTGGTAAGTTTGAGAGACAAGAAAAAGACAAAGTTTGTGAGACCTTATTACCGGTTGTTCAAACGACAAATAAAAGATTCACTAAACAGCCTCAAGCTTGGTTTGCGATTTAGCAGTTTGAATCAGATTCCCTCACTGAATACTAGAGTTGTTTTTTGGTTAAATTTGATTCAAAAAGAGGTGGGAACTGCATACAACAACTGTCATGTGGTAAGTTTGAGAGACAAGAAAAAGAAAGTTTGTGAGACCTTATTACCGGTTGTACAAACGACAAATAAAGATACATATTCAAAGTTTTGTTGCATAATGGTATTCTAAAATGAAATTTCCCAGTGAAATTCTGGCTACTTTTGCAGCTAAAACGTCTAGCCAGCAGCATGAGGTTTGTTTTCGCTTGCGGACAGAGGTCTTTGCACAAAATAACTACAATTAACAACGTGACGTGACTACAGACACTTGTGAACCAGACAGAGGTCGTCTCGTAGCACAGCATCTAAAATTAGCCAAGCACAAGACACAGACGGAAGACAGAAAACCATTACCAAAGACAAAAGCAAGAGACATCATCTGGTAAAGAATTACTGGACACGCGGCTGTCAGATCCGGATTGGATAAAAAGGAAAACCACAACACCTGAAAATAGCCGTGTTCCGCCACAGCACTACAGTTAGCATGGCCTGAGAGACAGACACCAGGTCCTGTTAAGTTGGGCTCAGTCTCTTTTCCTGTAAGAAACAGGCCAGAATCAACAAACGACACGAGCAAAGAGAGACGGAAATAAAATCATATTGTCCGAAGAGACCGTCCCAGAGAGGACCTGGAATAACATAAGCACTGATCACTACAATGTTTTACATGCTTTTCAGTTTCCTCTGTGGCCAACTTCAATCGTAAGGTATAGGCTGTGTTCGGAACGGAATAGTTGCGTACTACGCAGTATATACTACTGTATCCGCCTTATTTTTAAGGTAAGAGCGGGCGCGGCCATTTTATACCTTGTATGTGCGAGACTTCCGGTGTCATCCGCTTCTAGCCATTAATAGCGGTACAAAATTGCTCCTTATACTACTTGATATTGCAAAATAGTACATTAATAAATTGTCTTAATTATAAACACACTGGTTTGTAGTGCAAATAGTTTCACAGTTTACTGCACTGTATTCGAAGAAAAAGCTTACGTCTGCATTGCAAAATGAGTATTATTTAAAAAAAAATATATATATATATACTTACCGCTTTTTCTGGAAGTTGCATTGGTCAAAATTGCATTGTTGAGAGAGAGGGAGAGGAAAAAAACAAAACAACAAGTCACATCAGTTTGTAAGTCACATTTTATTACAATAATGTATTGTAATATAAAAATAATGCCAAATACCGGTAAATAAAATGAAACGTTAAAATGTTATAAACACTATAAATGTGATTTAGTCCCCCGCACTCCACAACAAATCCTTTAAATTTGACTGTATTCAAACAGACCAGGAACCAAAAAATAAGTGTGAAACAAACGTAAATTATTGTAAAAGTCATTATAAACAAAAAAAATTACAACTGTCAATCATAAATGAATCTAAATCTAAACTGAAACTACAAATAAACTTGGGTCAAATCCATATGTTTTGAGTATGTTAATTTCATTATATTAGTTAGTTGCAGCTCATTTCAGATGATAAAAAAAAGTGACTTGAATTCTTGAAAATATGGTAAGATTGTACATTTTGCATTCGTAAACATATCCAACAGCAGTATTCCACATATTTGTCACATGACCTTAACATGTTTAATCGAATGGCCTCCAAATTATTTTGCACATGAAACTGTTAGATTGCTTTTTAAATGAAATTTAGCGTAAAAATATTGTAAGTTTTTGCAAATGATGAGTCAAAAAAGACATTAGACATTGCACTTGATTACTTACTGTTCATACGTCGCACAGCAAATGGAAGGTCAGGTTGGGCGCATTGCATCGTGGGATACAGTATTCTACGAAGCTCTTCAAAAGTTTTTTTTTTCATACATAGACACAATAAGGTTTGAATAAGAGTAAAGAGTCAAAATCAGATTTTTTTTCCAACATGATAGAAAAAACAATATCATATCAAGCTGTTTTTATAAATGTAATGTCAAAAATACTACTTCTGTCAAGTGGAACAGGTGAAATGTTATCCAAAAGCAATGCATTTTTTTTTTAACTAAAATAAAAACACTCAAAGACAGATTTGTTTTTTCAAGAAAACAAAAAGTGCCTACAAAACGAAACGAAGAAAACTATACCCAAATGGACCATCTGTAATTTCAGTGGTCACATGACATCCTGGCATAATATCTACATCTTGTCTATGTTAGAAGGAAAAAAGAACGTCATTTGGTGGCCGCAAACGGAGCAGTACTAACCAGAACTGTCGGTGCGGTGCGAACTCTTGCCCTTCCCGCTCTTCTCCTTGCCCTTGCTGAGGGCGGCGAGTTTGGTCGGTATCTGCTGCTGGACACTGCCCTGCTTGTGTAGCTGGTTGGTGGTGCTGATGAGATGGATGGGAACCTCCGTCTTGGCCAGGAGGGTGCTGCAGGAGCTCTCGCGGCGCGAGTGGACTTCGGGACGCTCCAGGTAGTCGGCGGGGGACACTGAGAGAGAGGACCGCAGGTGTGACTTTTGAGGAAGCGTCTGATCCCATGCTCCACCGAGCAGCAGTTCACCGTTGAAGCTGGAGGAACTGGAAAGCTTAAACACAAAGCGAAATGCTAATGTTAACACCACAGATGGATAAGCAATTTCACGCACAGAGGTTGATTAACATCTTACTTCATCGTGAGGATGAAAGAAGGCATCGCCACAGCGGATCACGAGTATACATTCAGGAAACATGATGATGTCTCCATCCAATCATTAATGAAACACTACCAGGACTAATTTGTGTAAATTCTCAAGTAACACAACAGTGGATTTATGAACAATTGAGTTGACCGCAACAATATACACAGTAGATTTACGAAAAACTGAAATAAATGCAACAATTTATGCAAAAATGGATTTACGAACAACTGAATGCAATAATTTACAAGAACATATTTAAGAAGAATTAAGTCGAACTGGTTTGCGAATGACTGAGTTGAATGTGACAATATACACAATAGCAGATTCATGAAAAACTGAAATAAATGCAACAATTCACGCAATGCTTTTACATACAAAGAAATTGAATTTGAACGTAAGAATATACACAATAACATATCTACGAAAAAACTCAATTTAACACAATTTAAGGAAAAATGTATTTACAAAACACTGAATTGCAACAATATAAGCAAAAATGGATTTGACACAAACTAAATGTGTAATGTAGCTGTATGTGAATGTAAACGATCTGCAAAGTTGCCGAAAGTGCATGATAAATAAAGTTATTGTCTCCCAAAATAAAAGAATAGACTCTGTACAGCCTGAACGAGTCATTAGTAATTCGAATCCCAATTACGTGACAACACATTCCCACCTATGTTCTATGTTGGCTGGTCGCGAACTACTTGACCCCGTCCACAAACACGTCATTTTACTGAAGACTGCTTCTCTAATCTCGGGGAGTTTAACACGGGATTCACAAAACACTTGCTTTTGAAAGATTGAACCACAACCTGTAAGTATGATAAATAATAGATGTATTCTCTATCGAGCGTTCAAAAGATGGAAATATGGCAGTGGGTGTATCGTTTCTGACACGCAGTATGCGGTAGACCAATCACAACAGACCGGGCCATCTGACCAATCATAGCAGAGTAGGCTCATGGAAAGGAGGGGTTTAGAGACTGAATGTTACAACTGCTTCGAATGAATCGTTTGAGAATTGCTGGAAAATTAGGTGATATTAAATGCATATTTTGAGAAAACGAAAGCATTGTTTGACCTTTCACGCATGTAAACCTATTGTACGAGACTCCCAAAACAATATTAGAAATCTTAAAAATGGCATAATAGGGGCACTTTACAGGGGTCATATGATGCGATTTCAATTTTTTCTTTCTTTTTGAAGGGTTACAAGCTCTTGGTGCATAAAGAAGATCTGTAAAGTTGCAAAGACTAAAGTCTCAAATCCAAAGAGATATTCTTTATAAAAGTTCGGCGCGATGCAACGTGTAAAAAGACAGTATAAGTCATTATAATCCATAATTATGTCCCCACTGGATGCAACAAATGACTCGCTTATAATGAGTTTTAATGTTTTTGTCTGGTCGCTCCAGCCGGGACACAGCATCACAGTATGGTAGGGGCGTAACATTTCCGTCACACGCTTGAGGTATTCGGCCAATCACAACGCACTGGATAGCTGGCCAATCAGAGCACACCTCGCTTTTCAGACCGATGAGCTTTGTAAAAATCGATGCGTTTCAGAAAGACGGGGCATAGAGGAGAAACAATAATGTACAGTATGTGGAAAATAATGTTTTTTGAACCTTAAACCACATAAACACATTTCATTACACCAAATACACAAAATAATGTTCTTTTTAGCAACATCACATGACCATACAAATAGTACCAACTGCAGAACCTCAAACAACAGACAATATTGTTGCAATAAATCACTTGTCTTCAACTGTTATTCATGTTGTTATTCATTACTTGTAAATTACTTTGGATGAATGCATCTACTAAATAAAGCAAGCATAAATTACATATTTTGGGCCAAAAAGTTTGTTGAGATGTACCGCCTGCATTTAAATTAAATGTGTTTCAACTCAGATCAGCTTTCATATTTGAGCATGACACGCAGGAAATGCCAAGCTAATGCGCTGTGTAGGAAATACAGTCTGTTGAAGAGTTTGGGATTTACAGGACGAAGCTAAATTTAAAACACATGCTGCTTTGCATGCAGAACAAAGACGTTTGATGCGCTCTTGAGCACACTTCGTCAACACCGGCATAAAATGTAACACACACTGAAGACAGCACCACATGAAAGGACTACATTAAACATGAGGTAAAGATTATTAATGCACATCAGCGGCTAACAGTTCGTGAGCGGCCTCCCTCCCAATCCTTTTCCTCCAAAGGACATAGTGTACACTCTTTGGAGGGATAGTCCACCTGGTGCAAGCAAGTCTTGCTCAAGGGCCCAACGGTGATTATGCCATTTTTGGGATGCACCTAGAAGCGAACCTTGAAAATGTACGCAAGGAGTTCAGATAATTACCCGTGAAGTTACCAACACCCTTAGTTCACGGAAAAGATTGAATAATCATATAACTGTCCATCACATCTACAGTACTTAAAAGTGTGAAAATGGCCAATCTTCTCCACGCCTCAAAGATGTAATTGAAACTAGAGCCACCCTCCTGAATCTGTACATTATGCTTCTGCAAGTCACAATTACACCCTCATATTTCCATAATTTCACAAAAAAGGAGAACATCCAAACATTGGGAGGCGTTCCTCTGGGATCCTCAATCATCTAGAGCAGTGGTTCTCAACCACATTTCTGAAACCCACCCAACGCTGCATTTTGCATGTCTCCTTAAAGCGGTCCTATTATGCCGTTTCACTTTTTCAACTTTAGTTAGTGTGTAATGTTGCTGTTTGAGCATAAAAAAAATCTGCAAGGTTACAAAACTCAAAGTCCACTCTGAAAGGAGATATTCTCTTTAATAGAAAACACCTTTCAAGAATTACAACAAACGGCCCGTTCGGATTACAGCATGCTTCTTCAGGATAATGTGAAGTCAACAATATCACTCATTTAAATAATCCCCGCCCACAGAATAAGCAAAAAAGGGGGCAAGGCCTGGTTGAGCTGCACTAGAGAAGACGAAGAAGAGTTGCTTTAGTAGCGTGCTGTAGCCATGAAAAAAGAGACGCTGTTTCTTCCACCTGGTTCCAAATCCCCTTTATTTGTGCTTGCAAAGGTTCTGCACGATCCTCGTGTTTGTAAAACTTTGCAGGGTGAGCAGATGAAACTTGCAGTTGCGGTAAGGGGCGTGTCATTTCCGCAACAAGCGTTAAGCGGTTCGCCAATCACAACACACCGGGCCAGCTAACCAATCAGAGCACATTTCATATTTTGGAAACAGGAACTAAACCGCTGCAATAATACTGCAATAATGCTGCAATAATGTAAAAAAAATTATGTGTTTTTTAGAACAATCAAGCATGAAAATCTATTAATAAAACCAATTCAAGACTTTGTAAAAGGGAATAATATAAAAGAAAATGAGCTTCAGGAACATGGCTGGAAAACACTGATATAGAGCTTACATATACACTGATATAGAGCAGTTTACCAACCCTGATCCTGGAGGCACCTCAACACTACACATTTTCAAACTCTTCCAAACCTCAAAGCAGGTGTAATGGAAACTAGTGCCTCACTCCTGAATCTGTTCACTATGCTTCTGCAAATCGTAATTGCACCACCTTGTTTCTTCTACATATTTTCAAACGCTTCCTAAATCAACTCATCAGCTCATTAGTAGAGACTCAAAGACTTAAATGGATGGGTCAGATAAGGAAGACATCCAAAATGTGTAGTGCTGGTGTGTCTCTCCAGGAGCAGGGTTGGGAAACACTTATCTAGAGGTTGGAAAAGGCTGAACTTCTCCAACTGGCCCGGGGCGACATCATCTTGAACCATCACACAGCATGGCCTTTGTGGAGCATGAGTAGTTTTCCCAAACACTGGGATCCCAGCATAGATGCTCGATTGTTTCCAGTCCTTAAGGTGCTTTTAGTAAATATAAAGTTTCCAGAGCGTTAAAAATGCAAGGGGTGTGCAAGGTTTTCGGCACAAAGACTTGACTGACATCACATAAACAATTAAGATTGGCCGAATTCCAGCGCTGGTATTAATGAAAGGGTGCTGGCAGGTAATTATACGTTGCGGTTTTCCCAACTCAAGACTTCCCTGGATACTTCAAGCAACTTTTCATTTGGAGAAACTCTGCTGTGCACGGGCTAGTTGGAAGGGCTCGCTGCTGGAAACGTGGCTCTTAAATCATGGTGCTAAATACCTGTTTCTGAAGGGTTGTTTTGGGTGTTTTTACCTCACAACGAAGCATCACAAATACAGACTCCCTGGAAACAGGAATGTGGAATATATGCATTGCTACTGAAACATTTACATTCATTTTTTAACATGTTAAAATTTTTTTTTTTTTTTTTTTTGCATGCTAACAGTAACTATTTGACTGTCTAAATTCATTTCCAGGACTACAGCCATTAAAGCAGTGCTTTTGTAACAAATTCATAGAATAGACAATTAATGTCAGACTCCAAAAATTTTCATTATCAGTGAATGTTACACATGCAGAGAAATGTCTTAAGTTGTTGCATAAGTATTAGTACTGTAATTTTACAGTTGTACTTCAAAATATAATTCTTAATTTTAAAAATAGTAAAAAATTGAAATAGTAAGAAATAGTAATATTTCTTAATTTGTTTAATATTTTTTATTTGTTAGTAGTAATAATTATTATTATTTTATAGTCATATTTGATAGATAATCAAAATATTTGGCCAAACTCTGCAACCCTATATACAAACACAGCAAACCTGGAGCTTTTTAACATTTTTTTTAATGGTATTTTAAATAGCAATCGCACATTTTAACAGAAAAATCACAATTATATTTTAAATGTTAGATATATATTTGCATTTTAATTTTACAGTTGTACTATAAAAAAGTATTACTTTTCATGTTCTTTGCTTTAAAGCGAAATATTACAATATATATTTTTATATTTGTACTTACAGGTTTTTCAAAAATATTAAATCTACTTCAAAATTTCACGTTTAATCCAATGCGTTACTTGTCAATTCTTTGTAAATATTTGTGAAATTTACAAGCAATTTCTGAGTGAAAATTGCTTTTAAAAGTAAATCCTACACCTAATTTTTTTCAGTGCATGACCTTAAATAAACAATAACTGTCCGATTTTGGCTACTCAATGACTAGTGTGTGTGTGTATATACATACATACATATATATATATATGTATATATGTATGTATGTATGTATGCATGCATGCATATGTGGTAAAACAAAAAAATAGTAGAAATAAATCAAAAGCTTTGCCACTAAAGAGCTGATTCATGTTCATATGTAACCCAGCAGTGAAAACACACACCTGGCTGTGGCTGTTTGATTTTGAACCATAAATTTTAAATGCACATCCCTCCTACTATAAAATGACTGACACTGATGCTGACTGATCCTGGCTTGATTGCATTTCGTTTGGTCACTGCCTATTAAATCGCTAACGTCATGGCATTACGGCCATTAGGAAAGTTCTCCATTTATGTTAGTTCCACATGCACGTTTGAACGGAGGCTGAAAGGCGCCTTGTCCGGCTCCTTAGATGTTCTTTTCTGAGTAATCTGTCAAAATAAAGGGGTTAGTCATCAAGTTTGTGCATGCGAATGGACAGACAGGCTATGGCGCTCAAATCAGTTTAACGTGATTGAAGGAAAGCACGAAAACATCAGAGTTTGACTAAAAACAGATGATGGAGCCAGACAAACTGTGTGCAAACGAACAAAAAATGCTAAATACAAAGTACATATTTATATTTTCTGGTTGTTCACCATGATTTTAGTGTGTTGTGATCTCTGGGATGGTTTCAGTACTGCTGAGAGCTAGAAATCACAATATGTGGCTTTTGTTAAATGCTGTTGGACACAGAGACTGGCTTTTTTTGTGAGCCGGTTAAGACTGCTCAAACAACACTTGTCAGTGCTTTTTTCCCCAGAGAGCTAGCTGGGTAATTTAGCAGGCTCATCAGCAAACAGGTAGGGCAGGGTGGCAGGTAGATTAGCAAAGCCTCTGCTATGTAACCTCACAGTGCCACATTGTTCCCTTCGATTGTACTGGCACAGCTGAGCTGAAAAGAGAGCGTGGGAAAGGCAGATGCTCTCAGCTGGCACACCTACACCTAGAAATTTTAATAACATGTCCACACTAAAAAAGGAGCACAGAGGTGACATCATGCTAATTTCATGTATGCCAGCTCCCATTTCCTTGAATAGCTGGGCGATGTATCAAATATTCATGACAGAGTTGATTTCGACTTCTAACTTCATTGTTGCAAAGTTCAATTCATTTCTGAAATTCAGTTCAAACTGTCCATTTCAATGAATTGATTCAGACGGTACTATTAAAAACATTAATGCAAATAAATATGAATGCTTATTACCACATATTCTTATATTGATACATAATTTATATTATATTTTAGAATTTATATTATATTACATATTCATTACATACATCTAATTACATATCATTTCTGATTATAAAAAAACAAGACATTACAGCGTAAAAGCATAAATCAAGATATATATTGAATATTGTTAAAAGGTTGTAAAAGTTTTTTATTCAGCAAGGACACATTAAATTAATCAAAAGTGGAAGTAAAGACAATTATGTCAAATAAATCCTGTTTTTTTAAACTTTCTATTAATCAAAGAGCCCTGAAAAGAAATATTACGGTTTCCACAAAAATATTAAGCATATTAAGCAATGTCCTTCAGAAATCATTTTAATATGCTGATTTACTGCTCAAGAAACGTTGCTATCAGTATTAAAACACTGAAAGCAATGTTTCTTGAGCAGTAAATCAGCATATTAAAATGATTTCTGAATGATCATGTGACACTGAAGATTGGAGTAATGATGCTAAAAATTCAGCTTTGCATCACAGGAATAAATTACATTTAAAATATATTACCAAAAAAAGTTTAAGTTTTAAATTGTGTTTTTTTTTCATAATATTACTGTATAGATTTCTGTAAATATTAAGCCTGTAAATTATAAAGACTAAGAATTCAAAACCACTTTTTTTACTATGATGATAAAAAAAAAAAAAAAAGCTTTATGATTTAAGTGACCTTTTTTGGAGAGCAATGAAAATTGGTGCAAACAATTTTAGCCTGAATTTATTGTCTAATATTTTATATTTTAGTGTCAACCAGTCAGATTGGTATTATTATTTGGACCTAGGGCTGTGCAAATAATCGCATGCGATTGTCATGCGCATCTCGTCAGTAAAGCT